TCTTTCCGAAGCTCTCGCAATCTCTCAGAATCTCTCTGAACCTATGAGAATCTCACAGAATCTCTCAGAATCTCTCAGAACCTCTGAGAATCTCTCAGAATCTCTCAGAAGCTTTCAGAATCTTTCAGAACCTCTGAGAATCTCTCAGAATCTTCCAGAATCTTTCAGAATCTCTCAAAATCTTTCAGAATCTCTCAGAAGCTCTCAGAATCTGTCAGAAGCTCTCAAAATCTTTCAGAAGCTCTCAAAATCTCTCAGCATCTTTCAGAATCTTTCAGAAGAATCTCACAGGATCTCTCAGAGGCTCGCAGTGGCCTTCAGACGCTTGCAGAGGTTTGGAGCTTTTCAGAGGCTCCAAAGTGGTTGGGATCTCACGCGTCCCACGTGTCCTTGGCGGTTGGGGTCTGAACCGTCCGGTTGGGATCTCACGCGTCCGGTTGGGATCTGAACCTTTCTCGAGGCGAAGGCCGCCGCCCTGCGGCAGGGCAAGACCGAAAAGGACGCGCAGGAGGCCGCGGACGAGGCCAAGCGGACCCCCGCCGAGAAAGCCACTTTCAAGCGTGGGCTGGAGGAGACAATTGACCTCTGGTACGCCCATCAGGCCACCACCGTTTTCCTGCTCACCCAGCACCCCCGCGAGCGGGGCAGCGCGCGCGAGTGCGGCTACGACCTTTCCGGCTGGACGACGTATGATCGAGCGCTGCTCCGCGGAGCAGATCAAGCGGGTCTACCGCCTACATGCGAAGTGGAACGCCGTGGCCGACCTGGGGCAGGGGGCGGGGGCGACGGCGGCCGGGTGGAGGTGGCTGGTGGGCCCGGACGAGTTTGACCGGCTCATCGAACACAGGTCCTTCACCAACGGCGCGGACCGGGAGGCGGTGAAGGCGCTCTTCCGCCGGATGAGCCGCGCGCACCTGGGCGGCGTGACGACGCTGGACGTCGAAGGGATGCCGCCCCCGACCCCCGAGCAGGCCGCGGGGCTCGCAAGCTGCCTGCGGCTGTGCGCCCGCCTGCGGAAGCTGGACCTGACTGGATGCCAGATCGGCGCCGAGGGCGCGCGGGACCTGGTGGGGGCGCTGCCCTCCCTGCCCGGCCTGCAGGGGCTGGACTTGGGCGACAACGGCATCGGCGCCGAGGGCGCGCGAGACCTGGCGGGGGCGCTGCTGTCCCTGCCCGTGCCTGCAGGGGCTGGACCCAGGCGGCAACAGCATCGGCGCCGAGGGCGCGCGGGCCCTGGCAGGGGCGCTGCCCTCCCTGCCCGGCCTGCAGGGGCTGGACCTGGGCCTGGGCGGCAACAGCATCGGCAGGGACGGAGAGGCGGCGCTGCGGGCGGCCTGGGGCAGCCGGGGCGCTGGTTTGCTTGTCTGAGCCGGGGAGTTGCGGGAGGGACCGGGGAGCAGCCTGGGCGCCTGGGCAGCCGGGGCGCCTGCCCAAGGAGGCGCCGGGGAGTTGCGGGAGGGCGGGACGGGTGGAGGGCGGGAGGGAGGGGAGGGGAGGAGAGCCGGAGGGTGCGCGCGCTCCTCGCTCCTGCTCTTCCGCCCGCCGGGAGAGGTCTTCCTGGACCAGCTCTGGTCTTCTGAGTCGGGCGTGGCCCTCTCCAGGAGGGATGCTCCCAAGAGCCACAACATTCGGGGACCTTTTTTCGTACTGTGTTGGAATTGTGGGACATTTTGGGGGCATTTTTCAATTGCTTTGAGTATTATGAGTATTTGGGAGTTTTTTCCAATGTGGAACACTTGTTCAGCCTTTTTGTTGTTTTTTGGGGCATCCTTTTGAGCATCTTGGAACCTTCTCTTGATTGTTTGGAGTATTCTTCATTTGTCGTCCAGAATCCGCCTGTAGAGGGACGCGCGGGGGCCATGGTATTTCCCCAGATTTCAGGGCGCCCCTTCTTATTTCATCGCGTCCCTGGCCCCCCCGCTGGGCCGCGCACTTGCCGCTGGTCATGATTTGCACCCCTCCTTCTTGGACACCCCCCTCTTGGCCGCTCCCGACTCCAGGGGGCCGGCGGAACCCCAATCTACTTCCAACGTTTCCTATTTCATGTTTCTAATTCCGACCGATTGGCAAGCGACTCCCAATCCGTGGGCCTTTCGCCCACGCGCCAGATCCACAAGTCCTAGATCCTCATAAAAAGGGGTGCCGCTCTAGGCCTCCTAGATGGGGTCCCCGAGCAGATGGGCTCGGAGGATCGCGCCGCATCGCCGATGCATCGCCGATGCGGCTCGATGTGCAGCCCGATTTGCTTCACGTCGACGTCGCCGATGCATCGCCGGCGTCGCCGATGCATCGCTGGCGCATCGCCGATGCATCGCCGATGTATAGGCGATGCGGCGCGATCCTCCGATCCCATCTACTCCGACCTCACATCTAGGAGGCCTCTAGAACCGGTTGGTTCGGTAGCAAATCATGCGAGCTTGGTGTACCCGGCGTCGGGGACACCCACCTCCGGCTACGCTCGGGAAGGAGGTCCTCCTGCTCTCCTATCCCCCCCCGCTCCTGCAGTAGCAAGTCATGGGAGCTTGGTATACCCTCTTAGTTCCGTCTTTGGCGTCGATTAGCGTTTGGGTGTCGATGAGACAGCGCCGATTTAGCGTGGGTTAGTTTCGATTAGATTCGATCCGCATACCCGAGTACGCCGGAACTCGGGTATGCCGACGCTCCTTACCCAGCGCGTCGTGGAGGAGGACGAGGACGAGGACGAGGAGAAGGCAGAGAGGGGAGGAGGAGGAGGAAGAGGAGGAGGAGGAGGAGGAGGAGGAGGAGGAGGAGGAGGACGAGGAGGAGGAGGAGGAGGAGGAGGAGTGAGCTGGGGGCGCCTGCCCAAGGAGGCACTGGGGAGCTGCGGGAGGGCGGGACGGGTAGAGGGCGGGAGAGAGGGAGGGGAGGAGAGGTCTTCCTAGACCGGCTTTGGTCTCTTGAGTCGGGCGTGTCCTTCTCCAGGAGGGATGCTCCCAAGGGAATGTTTGGGCGACATTTTTTCAAGCTGGAACATTTTGAGTATTTTGAGTATTGAGTATATTGGAACAGATTGGGTGTTGAGTATTTTTCCCATTTGGAACATTTTGAGTATTGAGTATTGTGTGACATTTCGAAAGATTGAGTATTTTGAGTATTTGGGGACACTTTTTCGATGTGTAACTTTTTTTTCAACATTTTTGATGTTTTTTGGAGCCTCTTTTGGAGTATCCTGGAACATCTTTTCGATGGTTTGGAGTATTCTTCATGTTTCGTCCAGGATCCACCTGTAGAGCGACGTGCCCGACCTAGCCCTGGCCCCCTCTCCCGCGCCCGCTTGCCCGGCGATGGCGGCGCCGAACGCTAAAAAAAGAAGGCGAAGCATGCCCCGCGCGGAACGTAGCCGTGCGACCGCGTATCTCAGAGGAGGACGAGGTACCCATACCTCTACCCTTCGGCCGTTTTCCCTTTTTTGGGCCTCCTCGGAGGATCTCGTCGCCACTGCTGGATTCGCCTCGAAATTCTGGTCAGAACGCACCCCAGGAGAGGTCCGGGGAGTAGCAGTATTGGTGCATTTTGCTCTCCCCAGTATCCGCGGGATCGCGCCCCAGAATCCAGACCGCGGGGGCTCGGATGCGGACATGTTCGCCGCTCGTGGGTGGTGGGCGGGAAGAGGGTCATCGGAAGTAAAAGGACCTCTAGCCCCCATAAGGCAGTGAAGACGTGGCCTCACTGAGGTCCCCGTCTCTGCAATACGGAGAATCGTTGTGGGCGTTTTTGTGTGTGATAAATCTGCGTATAAGAGCCCCCGATCCTAATGTTGTTGGCCCTCCTCACCTAGGTCCCCTCCCAAAAGGATTAGGGATCCTGTTCTGGTCCATCAAGAGGGGGCTGCGAGATCTGCTGCGTGCGGCCGGCGCCGGTGCCACCGGGGGGCGCTCTCCTCGATACTCGGGGGGGCTCGAAATCGGCGGCGAGCGAGGGGGGGAAGCGACAAGGGGCGGGGGCCTTCTCGGAAGGCTCGGAAGTCCCCCGGTCTTCTGGGAAGTTTCCGGAGCCTTCCGCGAAGACGGAGCACACTTCCCAGAGGGCGCCAGGGCTTCCGAGAAGTCCCGCCGCCTTCTGAGAGGGCCTTCCCCTGCTCACTTTTTCCCCTGGCTCGCCGCCAAGAGTCATTGGGGACTCGGTGTCGCCGCGCGGTTTTGGGATTGGGGTCGCTCTCCGAGGATGTCTCGGGCGGCTGGGGCCTCCAGGGTCCCAAAACCGTGCGATGACGGACCGTGTGGTGATGTCTGGGGATTTCGAGGTCACCGCATGGCTTGTCACCGCACTGTCGTGGGACCCCCAGCATGCGTGGCCGCCTCGGGCGCCATGAGGTGCTTGAACCCACCAGCTGCACGCAGCCGACCACCCCATTTGTTAGCCGTCCTCTTCGTCCGCCCCGAAAGGCCAGCCAGTCCTCTGGGGAGGGTGTTGACATGGGCCGCTGGTTCCGTGACATTGATGGCGAGGCACAGGCGCTGCTGGCGAGGGATGAGCGCCGCCATGACATGGACGGGGCCGGTCGCAGGAGGAGCGTGTTCCAGGGGGAGTGGGACACTGCGGAGACGATGAATGCATCGGAGCGACCTGAGTGGAAGCTTGAAGATAGCTTCGAACGGGAGTTTGACAAGCTGGTGACCAGGGCCTCTGTGCCAGCAGAGACCCTTGCGAGCTTCAAGGCTCTGGGACTCAGGGCTCGGAGCGACATGACGGTCAATCACAGAGCTATATGCCACCAGCTGAGCAGTGCGAGCTTCTCCGAGCTCCTCGCCGAGAGCACCGAACTCTTCACGTTTGCCTGTGTCCTCAGTCCTTGCCTACGCGTTGTAGGCTCGTATATTGCACGTCGGTCGGCGAATCATTCCAGTGTATTGGTTTGTTTATTCCTCCGCCCTCTGCTCCCGCCTCTCCCGCGCCAGCGCCTCCTGTTCAGCCAGGAGGAAGGGGCCATAACGGTCCCGCGGCAGAACAGCCCGCCGACTCCGCAGTCACATCTCTGACGCTGGCATGAGTATCGCTTGGTTCATTGAAAATCATGCCAGCTGGCTGTACGAGGGGGAGAAGGAGGAATGCAGGAAGGAGGTGTTACGGGAAGAAGGCAGACTGCAAAACCAGGAATATCTCATTCGTTGTGGTCATCGTCATTTCTTGAAGGCTGCGGCGGGGACGCGGGCCGACGACGATTCAGGCGACGACGACGCCGACGACGACGACAAGGATGTCGCCGACGTCGTTGTCGTCGTTGTTGCGCAAATTCTTGGTCGGTTCTGGAGGCTTTCGTCGCCACGGCTGAAATGCAGCTCGACGAAGCTGGCCAGGCGGGACCCTGGGAGAGGTCCAGGGATGTTGTCGTTCGCGGACGCCGGCCAAGCTTCGGCACGGCGACGACGGCGAGAACGACGACGCCGTTGGCGGCGACGACGGCGTCGACGACGGCGGCGACTGCGACGGCCATGACGGCGGCGGCCAGCGGCGATGGCTGCGGCGGCGGCGGCGGCGACGCCGACCGGGCGGGGGGGGGGGGCGGCAGGGGCACTCCTGCGGCTACTCCGCGGGCCCCTCCGGCGACGGCACGGGCGCGGGCGGGGCCCTGACAGAGGCGGGCGGCCCCCCCCCCCTCCGCCCGCGGCCCCGCCGTGCCCCCGTCCCCCCCCTCCCCCTCCTCCTGCCCCCTCCTCCTGCCTCTCCTCCTCCTCCTCCTCCTCCTCCTCCTCCTCCTCCTCCTCCTCCTCCTCCTCCTCCTCCTCCTCCTCCTCCTGCGCGGCCTCCTCCTCCTCCTCCTCCTCCTCCTCCTCCTCCTCCTCCTCCTGCGCGGCCTCCCGACGAGGGCGAGGGGGGGGGGCACGGCAGGACTCGGTTCTCGAGCGCCCGCGGGCGCCCCGGGCGCCGCCGCGCGGCATGCGGAGGTCGCCACGCACCTGGCCGCCCCAGCGCTAGCCTCAAGTCGGGCCTGTCCCTCTGCCGGAGGAATGCTCAGAAATGGTCAAAGCATCGTCCGGGGACTATTTTTCCATCATTGTTTGGCTATTTCGGAACATGTTTGGGGTATTTTCATTTTTTCGCCCAAGATCCCCCTGTAGGGGGACACGCCCGACTTGACGCTAGCCGAAGGCACCAGCTTGCCTCGCCCTCCATTCCCAGTGTGTGGGGTGGGGGGTGGGGGATCGGGATCGGGGAGCAGTGACAAGAACACGTGTGGAGCCCGTAGCCCCCCAACCCGAAATTCGGGTCCTCGGGCCAGGTGGGGGTGGCCTGAGGGGTGGTCAGGGGAGGGGTGTGGCGAGGGCGGTCCAGCGCGGACCCAAGAAGTCGCCCCTTGGGGGGGGGGGGGCGACGCGCATATGGTATCAAGTGGCCTTCGGCCCATCCCCCCACCGTGCCTGGGTTGCGGGTCAGAGTTCGCAGGGATGCCTCTTCGGGGCGCTCTCGGGGGCCTCTTGTGAGCAGTTCTGGGGCGTTTGGGGAGCCTATTGGGGGCCTCCTGGGAGCATCCTGGGGCCTTTTATGGGGGGGCGGGCCTCCTGGGGGCCTCTCGGGAAGCCTCTCGGGGCCGAGGGCTCCGCGTGTCCGCGCGGGTTCCCCAGTCTGCGCCTCTTCTTGGGGGCCGTGGCGCACGGCTGCCTCAGCACGCCCGGTGCCCCCCCCCCTCGTCCTCGTCCTCGTCCTCGTCCTCGTCCTCGTCCTCGTCCTCGTCCTCCTCCTCCTCCTCCTCCTCCTCCTCCTCCTCCTCCTCCTCCTCATCCTCCTCCTCCTCCTCCTCCTCCTCTCCTCCTCCTCCTCCTCCTCCCCCCTCCTCGTCGTCCTCCTCCTCCTCCTCCTCCTCCTCCCTGCTGCTCCTCCCTCCTCCCTCCTCCTCCCTCCTACTCCCTCCTCGTCGTCCTCCTCCTCCTCGTCCCGGGGCCGGGGTAAAGTTTTCCGGAGCGGCCTGGGACGCTCCCAAGGCGCTCCCGAGCGCTCTGGAGCGGCCGCGGCGCCCAGTCTTCGGGAGCGGCAAAGAGGGGGGTGATGACTAGGGGGGGATGGATGTCATGGCGGGGGCCATGATATCTCCCCAGATTTCAGGGCGCCTCTTCTTATTTCATTACGTCCCTGCTGGCCCCCCCAAGGGCCGCGCACATGCCGCCGGCTATGATTTGCACCCCCCCCTCTTGGACGCCCCCCCCTTGGCCGCCCCCGAAGTACATCCCCCAGACCCGCCAGATCTCGCAGGCTCCAGTTTTGCCCCGGTCCGATGCTGCCCTCGTCCTGGCCCTCGTCGCAACATGTGGCAGAGGGACGGGTGTCGAGAGCTCCAGTCGTGATCGCTCACGGCTCGGGTTTTTCATGGAGTCTCGGGTTTTTCATCGCTGTTAGCAGCCCGCGGCCCAGGTTAGGGGCTGCAAGTAACAGCCCCACGCGGCTCGTTTCGTCCAGCTCGGTCTGTATAGCCATGTTCGGCTCATCTTCTTTCTTCTCCCCCCCTCTCAGATGCTCGCTGTGGGGACGTGCCTTCCACTGGGGGCCACCTGACGCATCTGTTCGACTCCAGCTCGACTCCCTGGGCCGACCTCGGGGGGCCTCCTGGGCGACCGTCGTCGCCACGGCTGGATTCGCTTCGAAAGCTTGATCAGAACGCACCCCAGGATAGGTCCAGGGAGTAGCGACATCGGTACCTGTTGGTGTCCCCATTGCTGCTTGTCCCTGTGGGAGGCGGGGCGCTGTCGGGGCTCCCAGCCAGGATGACGGGGCTCGCTTCGATTCCTCGGAGTCGATTCGAATCGATTCGACTTCGATGGCTTCCTGTTCCGATTCGACATGACTTCGGAGTCCGACTTGGGCTCCGATGTCTGAACGGAACTTGCCGGCCTGCCGATTTCCGCCGATTCGACTTCTCCCGGTTCGGCTGCTGACTTCCGCCGACGCGATTCATTTCGGCCGCCGATCTGACAAATCGATTCGATCCTGGGCTTTCGTGGGATGAGGTACTTCTGCGCCAAGGAGGTCAAAGGTCAAGCCTGTATGCCCGCGAGGCGGCGGCCGTGTTGGGCACAGGCGGGCGAAACGTAGCAGGCGCTCGGGTCATCCACTCATCAGCCATTCGTCGTCCGGCGCGTTGGCACGAAATCGGAGCAGTCGCAAGCAGAAATGGGCGGAACTCTACGCCGGGTGGTCAAGGCATGGGAAGGCGGAGGGAGGGGAGGAGGAGGGCAGGGGAAGAGGGAGGGAGGGGAGGAGGAGGCAGGGGATGATGATGATGATGATGAGGAGGAGGAGGAGGAGGAGGAGGAGGAGGAGGAGGAGGAGGAGGAGGAGGAGGAGGAACAACATAAGACATTCGCGCCTTTCCAGCTCTGTTTTGGTCAGCTTCCGTGGCCGGCGGCTGCGGCTTGGCCACCCGAGGGCCCTGCCGCTCTCACCGTGCCTCGGTTGCTGGCCGGCCTGACCAGATCTCCGAGGGCCTCCCCGGGATGGGATTCCTCCTGCTCCCTTCTTCCTCCGTCCCTCATCCGTCACCCCCTGCTCATCCTACTTCTTGACGAACCAACAACACACACCTATACCCATCAGGGGGTCGGAGAGGGCTATGGGTGCGTGTTGTCGGATGGGGGGCCCCGCTCGAACGGGAGCGTTCCCCAGGGTCCGACAACCCGCACCCATGCCCATAGCCAGTCCTCCTCCCCACGAACCCCCTTATGGGTATGGGTGCGTGTGTTGTTCGTTCGTCTCATCCTGCTCATCCTACTTCTCCTCCCTCTTCCTCTTCCTCGTTTGACTTTGTAGGGAACCTTAGATGGACTGGGATCGTGGGGTTCGTCCGCCTCCTCGTCTCGCTGTCGCTGCTGCCCTCGCACCGCACGCAGTCCGATTCTCGGTGCTCGTCTCGACCGAAAAGCCTCGCTTCTAGCACCTCGAAGGGAGAGACCTCGAAGGGAGAGACCTCGAAGGGAGAGGCCTCACTCCTGATCCTTACATCGCGGATGCCACTCGGAGGACTTTTTGACCTGGGCTCGCATCTCCTCCTCTTCCTCCTCCTCCTCCTCCTCCTCCTCCTCCTCCCTTTGTCGCGTTGCTGTCCCCAGTCGTGCTCCCTGAGTGGGCGATCGATGGCATGCTCTCTTTTGCGGCGTGTTTGTGTGTGTATGTGTGTGCGTGTGCTTGTGTGTTCGTGTGTTTGTGTTGTTGTGCTTGTGTGTGTGTTTGTGTGTGTTGTGTGTGTTGTGTGTTTGTGTGTTTGTGCGTGTGTGTGCGCGTGTGTTTGTGTATGTGTCTGTGTGTGTGTTGTGTGTAATGTGCGTGTTGTGTGTTGTGTGTTGTGTGTGTGTGTTGTGTCTTGTGTGTGTTGTGTGTGTGTTGTGTGTGTTGTGTGGGTTGTGTGTGTTGTGTGTGCGTGCGTGCGTGCGTGCGTGCGTGCGTGCGTGCGCGCGCGCGTGCGTGCGTGCGTGCGTGCGTGCGTGCCTTCTTGCGTGCGTGCGTGCGTGGGTGGGTGCGTGCGTGCGTGGGTGCGTGCGTCCGTGCGTGGTGCGTGCGTGGTGCGTGCGTGCGTGCGTGCGTGCGTGGGTGCGTGCGTGCGTGTGTGTGTGTATGTGTGTGTGTGTGTGTGTGTGTGTGGGCGTGCGTGCGTGCGTGCGTGCGTGGGTGCGTGCGTGCGTGCGTGCGCGCGCGCGCGTGTGTGTGCGTGTGTGTGTGTGTGTGTGTGTGTGTGTGTGTGTGTGTGTGTGTCTGGAGGCTGGAGGCTGGTCCGTACTCAGAGGCAGTACAAGTCCCGTGATCTTGCTCAGTACGCTGATGTACCTCTCATGCCATTCCCGTGCTGTTCCTCCTCCACCGTCGTGGCCGCTCGCCTCGCCCGCGCCCCCGCCCGCGGGCCGATCCCGGGGCGGCGGCTGCTTTCCGCGCGGCCGCCGCCTGGAGGGCTCGGGGCGCCGCCGTCGCCGACGAGAGGGCCGTCGACGTCTCGTCGTCGTCGTCGTACGAGAGGGCCATCGACGTCTCGTCGTCGTCGTCGTCGTCGTCGTCGTCG